TTGCGTTAAGAGATCTCCAGTGGAGGGTGTGGGAGGCAAGGGCAGCGATTTTGTAACACTTTCTTGAGATGTATTATTAAGGAAACGCTTAGACTGCTTCGATTTGGGAGCCATTATAAAAAAACGCACAAACAAAGTCTCTGCTCCCCTCGGTTTTAAATGGGATACTATTTATAGACTTTTAACAGTTAATAAGGAGAAGTCTTCAGGAGAATAGAGCTGATTGAGTGCGTCATATATCAAACGCAGAAGCTATAAAATCGCCATCTTGTAACGCAGCTGGATAAGAAAGCCTTTTACAAAATTGAAGCTGGTATTTTGAATAGTAATAAAAAAATTTTCTCAGGAATGGTCCCTTCTCGAATTAATCTTAAATAGCTTAACTTTGTCCTGAGGGGGGGGGCAACCTGCCTAGGGCTGAAAAGAAACAGCCGAGAAGAACTGGCTGGAGTAAAAAAAAAGCTCAGCTATTGTTGAACCTCTTCTCCGTTCACAGCGAAAAAAAGGGCTGTGAATTACAAAGAGATCCTAACGACTGAGCTACTCCCTGCCCCTTTCTGCCAGAAAGGGGAGATATCTATAGATCTTTTTAGATATACAGACCAGAACTCTGAGGGGAGCTCCGTTGAGCTCCCGACGGCGACAGACTCCTCCCCCGGAAGTCGAAACACACACAAAGTTCCTTGAGTTCTCATTCACATCTGTCTTGTCTAATTGCTGCAGCATGAAATGTTTCCAGTCTATTTAGTACTTTGTTATTTATTATTTTCATAAACACCCTTTTTAAATGGGAAAGCAGCTATTCCTCATAATAAAATAGTGAAATAGACCTATAGAATATTATGAGCTGATTTCTATGAGCATGGAATGGTTATTTAAAGTATCACCAAAAAGTGCCTTTCAGATAGGAAACCTACATTTGATCTTGGTCAAAAGTTCAAGAATTTTTCATTAGACTTGCTGATTTTTTTTTACCAATGAGAAAAATGTTCCAGGCTTTGTTTTGTTATACTATTTCAATTTATTATTGTATGGATAAAAATATAATAGATATAGATAAACCTCCCTATAATTTCACATATTGAAATGAGTTTAAGATACTTACGTAGCACGGAAATATTATGCAATCCATAGATCTCAAGAGTGATTCAACATCCAGTTAAACCTGTAATCTAGATTTGAGCCCAATTTCCCATAATGTTTCCTGGGAATTTCATATGAAACATTTCTCAACTATCTGTATGGTTCTTGGAAATTAAGGAGTGCAATAGTTGGATGCTTATGTATACAAAACAAGATTCAGCTCCCCAAAATATATTTAAGATACTGCAACAACAACAACAAAAACCCTATTGTGCTACTCAGGTACTATTGAATAAGTCACTAATAATAAACTGTATTTAAATTAAACATGTACTGATCAACTCTTCAAACAGATCAACAGGGAGTTTCCATGTGTGGTTGACCTAAAACTCCCAGTAACCCTAATCAGCAAAGCATATTGGGAGTTAACATTCTGCAACAGGGCTATAGTTTCCCCATTTCTGATTAATAGAAAAATCTTGATAGTATAATGATATTGTGACAGCAAATAAAATTAATAATGTGCTGCATTTATCTATTTTACAGTTTGAGTTCCGCTAAAGGCCTATACAGAATGTATTTTTAAACTGATATTTATTTATGAAGTTTACAGAATTGGTGCTAGAGTTTTTGTTATTCAGGAAAATAGCACCCTCTTGTGAATAAAATAGCATATAGCCATCCTATCATGAAACCATAAAAAACAAAAATAAAAACAAAGGGATATAAACCTGACATGGGGAAAGGTGTTTTTAAAAAAAGTAAAAGTATTTTCGCACAGCACTTTCTCTCTGTTGATTTCCAGGCTCTTGCATAATTTTGGTGTTGAACTGTCTGAATTTTAATTACCATGGATTGCATCATAATTCTATTATAAGTCTACTTTTCCCCATTGCCTTATAGGTATCTCAGATGAATACATAACGCCTATGTTCCATTTCTATAAAAGTATTGGGGAACTCAAGATGACACAAGAAGAATATGCTCTGCTTACAGCAATCGTTATCTTATCACCAGGTAATTAATTTTCTCCATTGTTTTAGAACAGAGTCTTTTAAACTTGTTCAGACCACAGAACCCTAAGGTGCTTCGGCTTGAAAAACCATATTCCAGACAATCAAGTCTGAATTATGTTAACAAATTTTAAGAAAAAAGGAAAGAGGCATGAAAAAGAGAATGCTAATTTCTTATACAGAAATAGAGTCCAAATGCTCTCTCCTTTTCCGTTCATGCAATGAAGACGTCTTAGAATGAAGCACTCAGCAGTATTCCTAGCTGCTGCTCAAGGATCTCTCTCAGGGACGCACTAGGCCCTTTTTGAAACCCTTTCCCAATCCACCCCTGCCCAGATCTGACTCATTTTTAAACTCCATATTTCACCAGCTTCTCTCCTCATACCAAATGTGGTCCAAATCAGAGGTGGGTTGCTCCCGGTTCGGCCTGGATTGGGGAAACCGGTAGTGGTGATGGTGGGAGTCCCCGCCCACCCGCTTAGGTATATGCGCAGAAGTGTCGCACATGCACACACAAGCAAACCGGTAGTAAAAAAAATTTGAAACCCACCACTGGTCCAAATATATCCTTTTGGGAATGAGATTTCCTTCAAGCATTCTACTAGAAGGAATGCATTAGAAAGAAGCCTGTAAAGTTCTACCCTGTGTAGGATTACAAATGTTCACATACAATTGTTTAATCATAGACATTTCTGCATTAAATGTTTCAAGCAACTTGTTTTACAGTCAAAAGACAAGACAAACTACATGTTACGTTAGACTACATCCTCCAGGGTTGGTATTTGGAGTTCTAGTGCAGCTAGGAGAAGACTTAACCTTTTGCCTTCATACTAGGGAGGTAGCTAAGCATTTATTTTTTCCCTGGAGTGCAGTTATGATCAAACATTTCAAACACATAGATATATTTGTAAAAGTGAGTACAAATTTAATATCATAGCTCAGTGGTTCCCAAACTTGGCAACTTTAAGACTTGTGGACTTCAACTCCCAGAATTCTCCGGCTGGAGAATTCTGGGAGTTGAAGTCCACAAGTCTTAATGTTGCCAAGTTTGGGAACCATTGTCATAGCTGTTAAGATGCAATAGTTCTGATCACTAGCAGCATAAAATGATAGGGGTCTAGCTAGAAGAAATATGTGAGTTTAGTGGGATTTGTGTATTTAGAAATACAGAAACATAAAACTGATGGCAGAAAAAGACCCAGTGGCCCATTAAGTCTGCCCTTTGAGGGAGGGGTTGTTTTCTTATACATTTAATTTTATCGCAAGTATATTTAAACTCAGTTACTGATGTTAGATCCGCTACTCCACTGGAAGTTGTTTGCAAGCTTCCACTACTTTTTCTGCGAAGTAATACTTTCTCACATTACTTTTGAACTCTCCTCCTGTCAGTTTGAGGTTATGCCCCCATGTTCTTGATTTCTCCTTAATATTGAAAATACTGCCTTCTAGAACTGTATTCATACCCTTAATATATTTAAAAGTTTCAATAATGCCCCCACTTTCCCTTCTGTCCTTGAGGCTGTACATACTCAGTTCTTCCAATCTCTCCTGATACGTTTTGTTCCTCAGACTTTGGACAATTTTTATTGCCTATCTCTGAACTTACTCAATCTTATGAATATCTTCTTTTAAGTGAGGTCTCCAAAACTGGACACAGTATTCCAAATGGGGTCTGACTAAAGCCCTGTATAGTGGGATTAGGACTTCCTTTTTCCTGCTGGTGATCCCTCCAGTGATGCATCCCAGAATTTTCTTTTTCAAAATAGCTGCCTGGCCACACTGTTTGCTCATTTTGCACTCTTCTGCTATGAGCACACCCAAACCTTTTCCTTCTATTGTTCTAACACTGTACCCTTCAATCCTGCACTCTACCAGAGGATTTCTTTTTCCCTAGGTGTATGATCCCTAAGTATGATGCTTGCAGTATCCCTTTTGTGATCTTTTGAGAGCAAAGTCAATGGGGAAGCCAGATTCACTTAACAACTGTTACTAACTTAATAACTGCAGTAATTTACTTAACAGCTATGGCAACAACTGTGACAAGGTCACAAAATGGGACAAAATTCAAGTTAACAACTGTCTTACTTAGAAACAAAAATGTTGGGCTCAATTGTGGTCATAAATCAAAGACTACCTGTTTTTTCTCAGTTCCTAAAAATGGCCAATCTGACCCATCTTCAAAAGCAGAAACCAAGGAAGTAGAAATAGGATTTGAATGAAAAAAAAAAATTCATTCTCTAATTTTTATAGGCACGGGATAGTTTTTTAAATTAAAATCTTATAGAGATAAGATTGTAACTATGTTCCTTGAAGCAAGAGTATAACAAAACCAATTAAAGCATGCTCTCACATTTATTTTTTATTTTGTCTATTGCTACCATTGTTAAAATTATGGGCAAGAATCAAAAGTACAAAAATACTACTACTAAGAACAAAATATGAAGCAATATTTAACACAATACTGTGAGCCAAAGGCCTGTGAGAATAAAAGTTTTGAGTGCCTTTCTAAGGGGAGAGAAGCTAGCTCTACTGCAGGCAAAGTATTCGAGTTGTTATACTATCTTTGCATAACAGAGATAAATATTTCTGCAATAATAGGATTTTTAATTATTTCTATTATCTCAGGATCAGAGTGTGCAACCTTCTCTATAACAATCTGTAGTATCAAGCAAGCTAATAAGTAAAACTAATCCCATCAACACTGCAAGTTTTTACAGACACGCAATATTGCATACAATAAATATATGGGAACAAAATAGCCTATGAACAGAGAAATGTATTTCACTTGCAATTGGAACACTTTGGTCTTCATAATTTGCATATATGAAATAATGCTTACTATTTTTCCCCATCTTCTTTGAAAATTAAAACCAGATCGGCAATACATAAAGGATAGAGACTCTGTTGAACGGCTTCAAGAGCCTCTCCTTGAAGTTCTGCAAACATTCTGCAAGCTTCATCACATGGATAGTCCTCAACATTTTGCTTGTCTCCTTGGTCGCCTTACAGAATTACGGACTTTTAACCACCATCATGCAGATATGTTGATGTCATGGAGAGTTAACAATCACAAATTCACACCTCTTCTTTGCGAAATATGGGATGTGCAGTGACAAGGCTGGTTTTTACTGGATCGTAAATAAGTTAGCTGGGACAACAAACTTGAATCCATAACATCAGTGTATTCATTCAGTGTTTTTGAATTGTAAATATTTTCTTAAAGCACTTAAAATAATTGATGGTAAATCATTTTCATTGAAGTTTACATTTGTGTCTGTTTACATAGAATATCTGCTATGGTTCTTAAGTTCCTTGAAACAAAAGTGAATTTTTATTTGCCTGAACCAAGTCCCTGTTATTTCTTTTGAAATTAAAGTGGTATACTACAACTTCTTCTTTTTCTTTTCATCTTTCTTTGTTATAAGCCACTACTTATAAGTTGATAAATATTTCTCAGAGCCAAGTTGAATGCCATCTATCAGTCCTAAACTATCGGAAACTATACCAGCATAAAACAGACTATCTATCCTGCTGTATATACAATATTGGCAAATGCTTGTTCTTATTTACAAGATGTATTAAAGACAAACTTATGGGTTCCCTCCTTTCTTACCCAATATCACCACCTCATGGGGAAACTATGCACCAATCATTTTCCTTAATGTGGATCAAGGCTGGGAAGGATGATTAGACAGGTGGGGTCAGCCATCTTTCAAATCTTTGTTCCAGTTTTGCACAAATGCATTCAGAAGAAGTCTGACTATAGGCTGGTAGGGTAATTTTGAAATATTTCCTGATTATTTTAAATGATTCTCTTTCTCACTAATCTTTTCCTCCACTATTCGCCTGGGTAAAAATAAGTTGTTTTTCTCCTGCTAGATAAAGTAACTTAACACCTACATAACACAATGTGTGTACGGAGGATGATTAGCATCAGTGTTGACCGCTCCTAAATGAAAAATATTTTTTTCTGGTTCATAACAGTGGCCAAGCTGGTCCATATGCCGTGATGCTTGCTTAACCATGCTTTTCAACCAATTCACAATGGGACAGATTTATAGAACCTGGAGACTAGGACTGAGACACTACAATGACTTTTCCCCACTATATGTTAAATTAAATCCTGTTGTGGGTTAGCTTTACCAGAGCAGAGGACAAGGAATTGTCTGGATTGGGCCCTAAAGGTTTTTTTTTAAAAAAAATAACTTTATTAAGTTTAAAAAAATTAACAAAAACAAAAAAAAGATTAAAAGAAATGTGGAGGAGATCAAGGAGGGAGTTAAAAAGTCACCACAGAAAAGAAAATACAAAAACCAGTTTTGACTTTTTTCAGTATAAATTTATAATAAAATAACCCCTCACTCTAAATTAAAACAAAAAGAACATACAGTCAATATAAAAATTAAATGAAAAACTAAGCCTATATAAAATAGCCACTTATTCTCTCTTTCCAAAGAAAATAGTCCAAAAGTGGTCTCCATATAGAATAGGATAAAGTTCTAGGTAGGCTGCACCTGTCTATATAGAACTAAACATTAAACTATGGTATGAACCATAGTTAACAAACCAGAACACTTGAGTCCACAACCCAACTAACCCAAAAAGACAACACCATGTAATAAGTTAACACAATGACCTAGGCAATAAATGATACAGCACACAATACAGGTAGTCCTCAACTTACAACAGTTCATTTAGGGACTGTTCAAAGTTACGGCATTGAAAAAAGTGACTTATGGCCATTTTTCACAGCTACGACCTTTGAAGCATCCCCATAATCGTGTGATCAAAATTTGGATGCTCGGCAACTGGTTCATACTGATGACTATTATCCCAAAGGTGCTTTTTCAAGAGGCAACTGGATTTTCTTGTTTTCCTTTGAAGACATTTTGCTTCTCATCCAAGAAGCTTTTTCAGCTCTTCTTGGATGAGAAGCAAAATGTCTTCAAAGGAAAACAAGAAAATCCAGTTGTCTCTTGAAAAGCACCTTTGGGACAACCATGACAAGAATCTACAGACACTTAATGGCCATTGCTGTCTCACCCATGTGATTCCCCCTTCTGCAACCTTCTGACAAGTAATGTCAATGGATTCGCTTAGCAACCAGGTTACTAACTTATCAGCTGCAGTGATTCACTTAGGAAGGTCATAAAATGGAGCAAAATCACTTAACAAATGCCTCATTTAACAATTTTGGGCTCAGTTGTGAGCGTTAAGTGGAGGACTACCTATGCTGATGCTGGTCCACGCTGACCTCTCCAGTGCATTTTGTTAACCAAGGCTTACAGTTTATTCTGTGGCAAACACAGCCATAAATATGTGTAGGATTGTGTTGCAACATGTTTTATACCGAGAGATAAGGAACCTCTGATTGCGCTTCTGATCTATTTCTCTGCCTCCACACTGACTTTTCTAGTCAGGGCTGCTGGGTGTTGCAACCTCTAATCCCCCCCCCCCCCCAAAAGCATACAGAGGAAGGTTAAATCTTGACAACCGCGGCCTGACTCCAAAGCAGGGTGTAGTGGAGAGAGGCAGAACCTTAGCAAGGTTGCCCCTATTCCTGCCCGTCCCCTGCCTTGTCTCGGCTGAGGAGATACCAACACTGGTCCAGACAACAATCCGCGGCGACTGTCACCTGAAACACACACGGCAGCAGGATTCCCCCCCCCCTCACACACACACACGCACGACCGCTGCATCCCTTCCGTTTGAATCCCCCCTCCCCCAGCACCAGCATCGCCACCCAGCCTTTCGCTACGGACGCCGCAAGGCACCCACCATCCCGACAACTGGCTCTCCCTCCCCTTTCGCCCAGCCTCCGCCTCGCCGGCCTGGGCCCCGCCTCGCGTCAGCTGATTGGGCCTTTCGAACTGTTGCGGGCGGACGCGGCCGAATGAATCAGGGAGCGCTGGAGCTCGAGAGGATTCCCTGCCGCTGCCGCAATCTCACGTGTGTCCCCCGGGCAGAGGATGCGTGGGGGGTGCTGACTCTGGGGTTTTCGTAAGTATCTCCAAGTTTCCCCGGTAGATAGCAGGGTCGTTTGATTGAAGTGTGATTTTTTTTCCTGGCTGAAGTGGGTCCCTGAAGCAGATTTGGGGCTGATCACAACCTACTAGGCTGAAGCGTGGTTGCTTGTTTATGGCTCAGTAGAGCCTCTACGTTCCCTGTGCCATACAAGGGGATGTATTGCCTTCAACCTCAAGGCGCTAATGCTGTTTCCTTGCTTCCTTGGGTTAGGGCTATGGGAAAATGCTGGCCATTTACACAGAAAAGGGGAAGAAAATCAGTTCAGCTCTTGATCTCTGTTGCAGTGACGCACATACGATCTTGACCAGCAGTTTTCTCGCCCGGAGGAAACGGCTTTCTGCAACCTCAGCCCTCATTCCGGCAGGTATTTTTGGAAAATGGGAGCTGTAGTCCAACAGGGAACCAAGTTGGAGGAAACTTGAAATAGAAGCTATGCAGACTTTTATGCCATTTTGCCAATGGCATAAATACTCAAAATACTGAAACTCACAAACAATGAAAGGATGTGACATAGTATAACAGCCTGTGGCAAGTTCTTCCTTACCCTGGCTGATTTTGGAGTTCGCAAGTTCTGAATTCAAGGTTATACGGTCTACTCCTAATTTTAAGACAGTGTTTTTCAAAATTGGCAAGTTTTAAGATGTGTGAACTTCAATTTCCAGAATTTCCCAGCCAGCATGCATTAAGTTTGAAAAATACTAGTGTAAAGTAATCCTATAACATAAACTGTGATATAAGTTTAAATAAACTATTTTTAATTGTGGATTTATATAATAACCTTAAAAATGGGATGCAATTATAAGGCGTGTTACTAACATCACATACATAATTGTATATGTGGTTATGCATATGATTTCTGTAATAATTCACCGGAGGGTGACATACTCATCCCTCACTACAGCTGCAGCGTCCCCGGCAAATAAGTGAAGTTGTTTTGTTTGGTTGTAAAACTGTACTTCGCATTCAGTCCTACAAGTTCAGAGACGTGAACCCCAAATAATTTAAAATATCCTTTCAGTTTACAATTTGAAGGTTAAACTGTAAAGTGTGAAAATAGCAGGAAGGATCCCACAAGAACAATAAAAATATTGAAAGCTATGTATTCCTAAAAAAAATGATTTCCCACAACTTCCAGAAGATTAAGAAGTGTTTCCTTTGGAAAAATAATTTTGTTGAGTTAATTGCCCAAATGTCTTCTCCCTTTTTCTAACTATTATTGAAAAATTGTTAAGACAAGGACTCCTCTGAAGAAAGTATCTTTTTTCCTGGTTCTGAAAGATCCTTGCTAGTATTTTAATTCTACCAAAAATTAATATGCATCTCTTGTAATATTCAAATAGCATTTGAAAGGTTTAGTTGAATACTACAAGATAGTATTAGCTGAAATTATCACATGTAGCTTGTTCCTGTTTCTGCTTGCTTTGTAGGTGGCCCACTGAATTCAGTAGCATTTTCACACAAGTATATGAACACAATTATATTATGACTGGGTTTATGTATTTTAACCCATGGTTTATTTTAATTAGAATTTGTTAAACAAATCATGAAGCCTGCTTCTCATGTAATTTCATAAGCCATGATTCACAATGGCTATGATGTGTGAACTGAGGTGTATTTTGTATTCAGACATCACATTCCTAATTCAACCATTTTATGAAAGATGGAGAAAAGGGAACAAACTTAATACTTGTATATCTTTTTTCTTCTTATTTTTTTCCCATAGAACTTCCTGGTTTTCTTAAACCACAATTTCCTGTGGTTATTGAATTATAAATCTGTGATTTGCAAGTCTTCTTTAAAGGCCAAAGGAAGAAATAAAAAAAAGAAAACCAGGGTGAAAAGGCACATAC